ACACCTGGGAGCACCTGGGAACACCTGGGAGCACCTGGGAACACCTGGGAGCTCCTGGGAACACCTGGGAGCACCTGGGAATACCTGGGAGTACCTGGGAACTCCTGGGAACACCTGGGAGCACCTAGGAGTACCTGGGAATACCTGGGAATACCTGGGAGCACCCGGGCTGGGGAACCACAGGAACGTGGGGCTGAGTCAGCACTGGCTGGACCTGCTGGAGCAGGGCAGGGAGAACAGCCAGCAGGGCTTTCCCGGTTTTCCTGCAGCCAGGTTTTCCTTGGGTCCATAACAGGGATATGTGAGACCTGCCTGTGCTCTGGGGGTGGGGAGGGAGCCCTTAAAGGTGAGGAGGAGGGAGAACCCTGGAACAGAAGGGTGGATGTAAACGAGGGAAGGAAAACAAACTCAAACAGGAGAAATGAGAACAGTGTTCAAGTTCATGGTGCAGTTCTGTTTCAGGTGGTGGCTGGGTGGAGGGTTCTGCACGATTATTATTGTAAATCTAATTTATAAATTAGATCTTCTGTTGGCTGTGTCAGGGTTGCTCGTGTTGCTCCCGAGGCCATGAAGGCATTTACCTGTTGCAAAGGGGGCCAAGGTGAATGGATGAAGGGAAATGGCAGAGTTTGGGAGGTTTACATCAAACACACTCGCCTGCAGTTTTCCAGGGTGTGACATCTTTGTGCTCTCTGAGCTGAACATTGGACTGCCCATCCCTGGAAGTGTCCAAGGCCAGGTTGGATGGGGCTTGGAGCACCCTGGGCTGGTGGGAGGTGTCCCTGCCCGTGGCAGGGGTGGGACAGGCTGAACTTTAGGGGGCCTTTGCACTCCAACCATTCTGGGATCCAGCACTTCCCTGACTGTGTTTGAGCAGGTTTTCCCCACGTGTGCCCATGGAATGTGAGCAGCCCTCCCCAGAGTTCTGGGCTGCCACGTCATCCCAACCCCTGTGTGTGTTTCTTGGCCCTTTTCTCACCCACTGTGCCACGAATGTTTAAAAAACAAGGCACAACCAGCCAAACAAACAAAACCACCCAAAAAATCCCCACCCAAACCCCAAACCCCTTCTCCCCCCTCCAAACATCCAACCCAACCAGTGCAGGACAAGCTGCTGCTTCCCCTCCCTGTGCTGGGAGCCCAGCTCTGTAATTTGCATCCTAAACATAGTTGCAGTTACTGTGGGTTTGGTTCATTCCTGTTTTGAACGTGAGAAAGGCTTCCCATCTTTCCTCTCCCCAGCCTGGTCCCCGAGGGATCCTTCTGTGTCTCCTTGTTCAGGAATTAAAGCAGGTTGGTCAGTTATCCTGATGGATTCCATAGGACATTCCCAAATACCTGCCAGCGGGAGCTGGGCTCTTTTCTCAGGGAACAAGGGACAGGATGAGGGGGAACGGCCTGGGGCTGCCCAAAAGGAGGTTCAGGTTGGATGTTGGGAACAATTCCTTCCTGGAAAGGGTGGTCAGGCACTGGCAGGGGCTGCCCAGGGAGGTTTGGAGTGCCCAGCCCTGGAGGTGTCCCAGGAAGGCTTGGCCGTGGCACTCAGTGCTCTGGGCTGGGGACAAGGTGGGCACAGGGGGGATCCATGGCCTGGGAGGGCTTTTCCCAGCTGGATGACTCTGGGATCATGGACAAAGCAGGTCCCTCAGTCAGGTTTCATTTCAAGGGCAACGAGAACAGGTCACTGACCTATTTTCCTTGTGGAGAACTCTGGCTCCTCTGGGGTTCTGGAAGTGTGTGTCCTGTCACTCTGACCTGCTGATCCCTGTGTGGCAGTGCTCTGGGAGGTGCCTGTGCCCCCTGAGTGACCCCTGGAGCTCCCATCCCGAGCCCTGCTGGCACTGCAGGGGCCCCTCTGTGCCAGGGAACCCCGGGGAGCTGTGGCTGCCCCATCCCTGCAGTGTCCAAGGCCAGGTGGGATGGTGGGGGGTGTCCCTGCCCATGGCAGGGGGTGGCACAAGGTGGGATTTAAGGTCTCTTCCCAGCCAAACCACTCTGGGGTTTGGTGACTGTGTGACTGAGGTGTCTGTAGGGGAAGGGAGGGATGCAGGACATGCACCCAAAGCCCAGGCAGGGGGAGATCTCGTGGTATCTTTGTTTTTCTGGGTGTTGCAGGAGATTCAAGCATTACTGTCCCTTATGTGTTGGTAAAATAACCTCTCCTGAAACCAGTTTAAAACGTGAAATCACTATTTCATGTGATTTCATCCAGTCCTCCAAGGGGATTCCTGCCCCTTGGAGTCCCTTGCTGTGGAATTTAAAGGGGTGCAGTGGGAATAAAGGTGATTTCAGGGACAGCACCTGGTGGGCTTCAAGCTGACCTGCATATTTTATGTGATGGGGAAACAGAGAGAAATATTCCAAAAACTCCTGAAGCTTGGGGCAGTGCATGAGGGTACCTGGAGCTTGAACAAGATGCATCTCAGGGACAGAGTCCCAGTGTCCAGGACACTGAACTCCTGCTCTTGCCTGCAGTGAGGGACAGGTGAGTTCCTTGGGAGGAACCTTGGCTGAGATGCTCTGTTTGAATACGTTCATTGAACTTAATAAAATGGATTTATTTTAGGAACCTGAAAAGAAAAACAACAAACCCTTTGCATCTCTCCAACAAGTGCCACTGAGGTGCTTTCCTTCAGAAAAACAAAACCCCAGCAGTGTGTCAGTTCTGAGCCTGTGCTTTTCTACAGGAGGGAGGAATAAGGCAGCAAAATGCATGTGCCTGTTATAATAACCTCATGTGCTCGTTTCCCTTTGTGGAAGGGAAGAGGAGGAAGGCTGTGGTGGTTTGAAGCTGGGTGTGCTGTGAGGCTGCTCCTGGGGGCCGTGGGGCAGTGCCAAGGCACAGCTCTCTGTTCCCTGGGGACATTCCAGGCTGATGCAATGGGGCTGCAGGAGGCTGAGCCCACTGACTCCCATGGAGCTTGGGGGAGCTGGAGGAGAATTCTTAGGAGGTTTTGCCTTTTTTAGGTTTCAGACAATTAAAAACAGTATTTATTGGTTTTTAAACCACCTGGTTTAAACTCAGGTTTTGAACCGTAAGCTGCTGAAGCTGGTAACAAAAGAATGATTTAGTAACTAAGTAAATGATAAATCAGATTTTGCACTGATAACTGAATTAACTTGTGCTTTTTCACTGGAGTTGGCTGAAATTCTGCCTCTTTCAGGACTGTGTGGTGCTGTGAGAGGGGCTGAATTGTCCCTGTGCCCTCTTACCTGGGGGTACAAGTTCCTCTCTGTCGCTGTCACTTCTTTAATGTTTCCCTGAGAAAGGGAGGCCTGTGCCACCAACATCCATGGTTTTATTTCCAGCTTAATTGCACTGAAGTTCTTTACTCCCCTGACAGGTATGGTTTGACCTCAGGCACTGGGTTTCAAAGTGAAATGAATTTTTACAAGTTTTCTTGAAAAGACAAGGGCCCCCCAAACCCAACATCCCCCCAAATCCTGGGAGGTCTTTTCCAGCCTCAGGGATCCTGCAGGGAAGAGGATTGTCACTGGCCTCTGGCAGCCAGGGGAAGGGCTGGGATGTGCTTTCTCCTCCTGAACCCCAGAGGCCCCAAAATCACCTTTTTGGCTCAGCTTGCCCTGTGCTTTGCAAACAAACCCCCTTTGAACACAAAGGAATTCCTTACGTGGTATTTCTGTTTGTATTAATGCTGCTCTGAGCCTTTCAGACTTAGCAGGAGCAATTAAAACGTTCAGAATTAATGTTTCCTGTGCCCCCCCCTCCCTCAGAAGGTGTTCAGGAGCCCAAAGTGTGTGTGTGTGTCGTGGAACAGGGTAATTATGGAGGGATGTCTGTCTGTCTGTCTGTCTGCTGGCCTGCTCACTCCCCAGACAGGATCAGACTGTTTCTGGTGAGGGATAAACCCACGTTGTTCACAGCAGGTTGCTCTTGTAACAGCAGTTCTGACACAAACAGTGTTTGCCATTTCTGTCTCCAGGATGATTGAGGAGAGTGGGAAGAGGAGGAGGACCATGGCAGAGAAGAGGCAGCTGTTCATGGAAATGAGTAAGTAGGAAATCTGAAGGCACAGTGTCCTTTATTCTTTACCAAGAGCTCCCCTGGGACAGTTTTGCCACATCATTCCCATCTCCTTCCACGAGACATTGCCCCACCCAGGGAAAAACATCCAGAGTGCCCCTGGGAGCTGCTCAGGAGGAGCAGCAAAAGGTGGGTCACACCTGCCAGGGAGGTCAGTCATTCCAAGGGTTTGGGAAGCTCCTTTTTTGAAGAACGTTCACATTTCTCATCTCTGGCAATACCTGAGGTTTGTGGGCAGCTGCTGAAATAAATAGTGACAACAGACAACAGAGCACCTTTTGCCTTAAAAAAAATAAAAAATGACCCTACAACACTGGTGTGACTCAGGAGAGGAACAGTTTGTGGGCTGGTTTGTGCAGGATCACTCCTGGCAGAGAGCTTGGGATTGTTAAAACCCTGCATGCTTGCATGCCATCCCCTTATTCTGCTGTCCTGTGGGAGCACAGGGCTGAAGGAAACTCCTAGATTGATCTGGCATGTCCTTAATTCCAGTTACAAACCGAGGGAGGTCTTCCTTAAAACTGGATATTGATACTGTTCTGTTGAAGGAATTCCAGAGTAGCATTTTTATCATAGAATCGTGGGATGGTTTGGGAGGGAAAGGACCTTAAAGCCCAACCCTTTCCATGAAGAAATTCCTCCTGTTGTCCAGGCTGGCATGCTGGAGGGAATCTCCTCAGAACCTTTTCCAGTCCAATGGCACATCCCCACTGGAATGGCTGTGGCTGG